TACCACATGATCTCACTCATTTGTGGAATATAGAGAACAACATAGAATGACGAACAGGGACAGATCCAAAGACAGAGAAACAGCGATCACACTATCAATCCCCAGAGGGAAAGTAGGGGAGGATGGGGGTAAGGGGAAGAGATCAACCAAAGGACTTGTATGCATGCATATAAGCTAAACCAATGGACACGGACAACAGGGGGATGAGAGCATGAGGCGGGGGGAGGTTTGGGGTTAATGGGGGGGTGAGGACACATTTGTAATACCTTAACCAATAAAGAAATTAAAAAATATATATAAATCTCTTTTTTTACTATGGCTGCAAATATAAAAAAAATTATGAATATTTCTATATGTGACATGGCACCAGAGTTAAGTTAGGGTTTTTCAAAATTTTGACACGCCGAGCTCAAAAGTTTCGCCATCAGTGTCCTAGGGCTACCCCGCCGTTCTCATGTAAGAAGAGATTAAAGTCGTGTGTCACATCTGGTAGCCCTAGTGCTGGGGCCTCAGTGATCTTTGCCTTTATACTGATGAAAACTTTCTCCTGCTCAGGGCCCCATTCAATGGGTGCCTTCTCTTCCCCTTTTAAAGCTTCATAGAGAGGCTTGGCCAGGTCTGAAAACCCTGGGATCCAAATTGGACAGAACTCTACTGCTCCCAGGAATTCTTGAATCTGCTGCCGGGTGCTAGGGACTGGGATGGCACATACTGCCTGCTTTTAGTCCCTAGCCTTAATTTCTCTTGGGTGATTTGGAAGCCTAGATACTTGACTTCCTTCTGACAAATCTGTGACTTTTTCTTGGACACTTTGTAACCTGTTTCAGTTAACAGTCTCAGGAGGGCTCGTGTCCCCTCCCAGACCTGAGCTCACGTGGAGCTGGCTAGTAGGAGGTTGTCTACATATTGAAGTAGAACACACCCCAAGTCCTGTCCTCAGAACTTAGACAGATCAGATGCTAGTGCTCCACTAAAAAGAGTAGGGGAATTTTTGAATCCTTGTGGAAGTCTGTTCCAGGTGAACTGCTCCTTGGCCCCCATAGTTGGGTTTTCCCACTCAAAAGCAAAAAGGGGCTGGCTGAAGGGGGCAAATCGGAGGCAGAAAAAGGCATCTTTCAGATCTAGGCATGTAAACCATTCCACTTCTGATGGAATGAGTCCTAGAAGCATGTAGGGGTTTGGCAGCACCGAATGTAAGGTTATAATGGCCTCATTAATGGCCCTCAGATCCTATATGGGACAGTATTCAATAGTCCCAGGCTTTTTGACAGGCAAAAGGGGAGTATTCCATGGTGATTGGCATCTTTTAAGGAGTCCCCACTGAAGTAGCTGGTCTAAGTGGACTTGAATTCCTAGGTGTGCCTCCCTTGGAATTGGATATTGGCGAATTTTGACAGGCTGTGCTCCAGGCTTTAAGTCAATTAGTATCGGGGCATGGTCTTTGGCCAGGCCTAGGGGATTTACTTCTTCCCAGACTAGTGGAAATTCTTTCTCTAATTCAGGCTCTAAAGGTGAGGTCTTTGACTGAGGGGCATAAAGTCTCCATTCTTCCTCCTGGGGCACTGCTAGGGACAGGACCTTTGGAGAAGTCTCCTCACCTAGGCGCAGCTGTGCTGAGCCATCTGGGGCAAAGGTGACCTCTGCCCCCATTTTGGCTAAAAGATCTCTACCCATCAGAGGTGCTGGACAGTCTGGCAAGTACAGGAATTCATGAATTACTCGGTGGCCGCCAAGTTGGCATAGGTGAGGCTGGCAGAATGGTCTATGGGTCTGGTACCCAGTAGCTCCAATAATGGTGACTTCCTTTCCTGAGAGAGGTGCTACTTTCTGTGTTACTACTGAGTGCTCCACTCCGTATCAACCATAAAGTCCACAGTCTGCACCCCAATTTTCATTCTGACCATGAGCTCGTGGGGGCCTACCTGAAAAGAGCCTGGTCTGTCTTAGTCAGAGTCAACTGCTGCCAGCCCAATAAGGTCTGCTTTAGGTGGTTCTGGTTGATAGCGACTGGGTGGAAAGGGGGCCCTGTTTTCTTGCTTTGCTGTTTAGGACATTTATTTTTCCCGCGTCCTGTTTCCTTACAATAGGCAAACTGGTCCCGTCTCAGGCTTGCTCTTCCTTTCTTCCCTGATCCATCTTCCTGCTTCCCTTTTTGGGCTGTCTGGGAGCCCGAACCTCTGAAAGCCGCTGATATTATATTGGCCCGTCTTTGTATTCTCTTTTCTTCCTCCTTTCTTGCTGCCCTGTTTCCATGGATGAAAACCTTGTTTGCTATCTCTAGCAGTTCACTAGCATTTTTTCCTGCAAACCCTTCCAACTTCTGTAATTTTCTCCTTATATCAGGCTGGGCTTGGCCTACAAAAGTGGCATTTACCATAGCTTGAATGTCCGGGGCCTCGGGGTTAAAGGGGGTGTAGATCTGGTATGCCTCACACATTCCCTCATAGAAAGCTGCTGGACTTTCATCAGGCTTCTGGAACATTTCAGAAATTTTAGCCATATTGCTGGGCTTCTTGGCTCCGGCCATGACCCCGTGGAGGAAAGCCAGCCAATGTCTTTCTAGCCTGGTCTTTCCATCTTCTGAGTTCAGGGACCAATCAGATTTCTCATCCAGGTGGGCCTCCCTTGCCCATCTGTCTATATCTAATGTCCCTGCTGGGGCCTGGGTCTGGAGCCACTTCTGAGCCTCTGTCATTACTCTCATGCACTCCTCAGTGTCAAAGAATGCAAAAAGGAGCTGCTTGCAGTCCACCCAGGTGGGCTTCTGGGTCTGGAAGATCATTTCTAGGAGATCTACCATGGTCTGAGGTTTTTCAGAATAAGCTGGGGTGTGTTGCTTCCAATTCAGAATGTCACTTGTGGTAAAGGACTGATAATAATAGACTGGCCCTCCCTCCTGCAAGGTCCCATCTTCACCAAGCACTTGGGCACCCCGAATCTCCCTGAGAGGCATCTGATATGCTGATTGTTGTTTGAGCCCTTGACCGGCTGAACGCAAGCGCTGCTCAACTGGCTCTGGAGAGCCTGGTTGAGGAGAGATGGAGGCGGGCGGTCTTTCCAGACTTTCCTGACCTTCCAGGCCAGCAGGGGGAGCACTTGGTGCTGCCTGTGGCTCATATGGAAGTGGTAAAACTGGTGGGACTTCCTCAGGGTGTCCTGGCAGAGCAGGGGGCTGGGTTCCCTCCTGATTCTTCTCTCCTGCCTGCTTCTCTTCTGCTTTCTCCTGTCCTGCCTGCCTCTCCTTGGCCTGCTCCTGCCCTGCCTACCTCTTCACTCCTGCTACTAAAACCTTACTCTGTTCCTTCTTACACACGCAGAACCGGACCCAAGGTGGCAAGGTTTGAGCAATTTCTAACTAGCTGTCTATGTAGGGAAACTGATCTGGGTGTCTTGGGTATCCTGTGACTACATTCCAGACCGCCCTGACCAATCCTTCATCTAAAGAGCCTTCTGAGGGCCAGCCAACCCCAAAGGCTGGCCATTCTACTTCACAGAATTTTCTCAGTGTTTCAGAATTCATTTTAATTCCATAATCACCATTGAATTCCTTTTTAAAATTTTTCAACATGCAATTGAGAACAGTGGGTTTACTCTGTCCCGATCCCATGATGATTGGTGGTGCTAGACAAACAAGGGAGGGGGTGACCTGTTTTCACAGATCCTCACTCAGATTCCTGCCTGGCCACATCCCTTGGGAGCTTAGATTTGTCTTAGCTAAGGTGCACCCATATAAACCCTGGGCCTGGTCATCTCTGAGTGGGGGTGAGTCACCGTTATGCTGTTATGCCGTATGACGAATCACAGAACCACAGGTTGGGGCCCACTCAGACTCCGTAACCAAAATCGTGGAGCCACACAAAGGGGAGGAGAGGGCCACACTCACACACTTTCACCCATCATTCACTCAGAGTTTAAACAATCCACTCAATTCCTAACTAATTGCCTAAAGAAGCCGTATGGCTTCCGGGGAGGTGATCAAGCTCCCCTTCCACTCACTTGGAGTGGGCCTGACTGACTGGGGCCCCTACCTTATTGATTCTGTCGACAGGTCCAGAAGAGTCTGTCCACTCTCTCCAGATGCCGGCCGGGTCCTGGGCTGAGGTCTGGAAGCACCCAGAGTCCCCTGGTTTAATTCTGCTAAATCAGCAGCGCACACACCTTCAGGAGGCCTATCTAACTCTCTGGGGCCCCAAACCCGGTCCACTCACCAGAGGCCAAAAGGCCAAGCATGGGCTGGTTTTCCCAGCATTTCAGGGAACCAATAATGTTACAGAGAACTGGAATAAATCAAACAATGCTCAGAGAGTTTGGAGTCACACTTTATTCACCACGGTGGGCTTAGAGAAAATGAATTCAAATTCTAAGCAAAGCTACAAGCAGAACTCCCATTTTTATTAAAGAGCCAGGCCTGTGTGTGCTTAGTGGTTATCTCACTGGTGGCCTTGAAAACAACACAGTTCTACCCAATTAAAATATACACCTGCTATGGCATTGAGAGTATGGGCATATCTAGTCTCTGGCCTACAAGGTCAGACAGCTAAGTTTATCTTCCTCATTATTCAAGCAGGCTAGAGCAGGCTAGAAAGCAAAGTTATTATTCTTATTATTATTCTTAACTATTATTATTTTTAGAATAAGAGGCCGTATAAAGAATAGCAGAGAATTCCAAACAGTAGTTTTACAAAATAGGGGTTAGCCTTCTCACTGGGCCTCATTCCTGCAGCTGCACCTGGGACAGGACACCTGGGAACAAGGAGCATCAGTCCTGTCAGTCACATGCAGTCACAGCCATCCCATGACCCCTGTCTGACCCCTGAGATCCTCACTTTGGGGGGCTGTCACCAGGCACAGGAGAAGAACCAGCAGCATCATCTTCTTCTAGATCACAGCTCTGCCTTCCCAGAGACCTCAGCCCTGTGTGAGGAGAGAGCTGTGATCCTGCACAGCCCAGGAGAGGATGTACCCTGGATCTTGAACAGAAATTTGCATGTGGGGCAGCCCTATTCTTATAAGTGTAGGGCCTGGGGCACAGGATACTCTGGTCTTTCTGGGGCCTGTGTGGAGGCATCTCTTCCCTTGATCTCACTCAGCATGTAAGTCAGGGACAGGGGATCACATGAGTCTTGAGACTCATTGGATTCAGGTCAAAGCACAGCCTCACCTTTCTGAGCATAAGAAGAAACATGGGCTAGATGAGCAGGTTACACTTGTCCCTTCTCAGGCATCTTTCAAACAGATGCAAAATGAATTAGCATTTGTTCAGACCACTTCTGAATCTCAGAATCCTAGTGTATACACAATTTCTAAATTTTTAAGTCTCATGTTATACAAACACTTTCTACCCTTGTTCAAAAAATAAAAATGACAGACATTTTTAATATTTTATGTCTTAATTTATCACGTTACTTTGATCTGATAAACTACTTCCCAATCCCAGGCAGGTGGGACAACCCTGACTCTTGATGCTGCAAATTTTATAATTGTGTCTACAGCTTCCTGTGCACACTCTTCCATTTTCAGAGACTCCAAACTAGTAACATCAGAAATGATTGTGGTTTTAAATGGAGAAAACACAAGACATGAAGATAGTGATCATGTGTGTGTACAGCCCCCAATCATTCATATGTTGAAATGCTGGTAGAAGGAGATTGATGTGTTTTCTCAGTCTAGTGTCATCAGTGATGTTGGGGTTCAGAGTAAGGGACATTGAAGAATTCCTAGCATACATTTTCTCACAGGAAAGGGAACTTCACCTCTGGCGGGAAACCCTATTCCCATCCTCCCTCTGCCCTGTCCCTGGTGATGTTCACTGTGGTGAGAGGGTGTCAGGCTCTCCCCCATAATATACAACATCCTTAGTGTGTAATACACACATTCTCCCATCAGGCACATGATTCTGAAAGATATTCTCTCCCTAATCTTATCACTTAATTCCTTTGATGGGATATTTGGTGGGACAAATGAGTTTAATTTAATTTTGCTTATTTTATTTTATTAAAGTTCAATTCAACAGTACTTTCTTTGATGAGTCCTGTTTTGGGTGATTTTACTAAGAATTCCTCAGAAAATTCTGAGTTTCTACTGTCCATGTGGGTTGGCTACAGCAGCCACAGGGACTGGAGCAAGTTCTGGTACCAGAGGGGAGCCCTGCTGGGAAGCTACCCATAACTATGGATGTGACTGTGGAAATGGGTGAGGGGAGGAAGCTGGACTTGTTTTGAGTCACATGACAGAAACATGCCTGATGTTCATGGACAGAGAGTTACTGGACATATGGGCTTAAAGCTTCCTCCAGTGAAGGCCCAGAAGGAAGTGCAGGGAGAGAGAGAGAGAGAGAGAGAGAGAGAGAGAGAGAGAGCTTGTATCATCATAGGAAATACCTGAATAATTAGGAACAAGAATTTGTAATAAGTAAAAATGTTAAAGACCATGCAGGCAGGGACCAAGAGATATAAGGAATGTTCCATTGCAAACTGATGGGAAGGGGATTCCCAGTTTCCTACATGCACATTCTCACAGTGTCTCTGTTCTAGAAGGGAACACATTCCCTGGTCCAGGGAATTAGGACTTGGACAGCTTTGGGGTCATTACTCACATGGCCTCACCATGAATCAACAAAGCTGCATAATTCATTGGGGGCCCATTATAAATCTGTCAATTCTTACAGGGAAGAGTGGACATTCCTGACTGGAGGTTCCATGGTGAAGGTGTTTCTGTATGATGAGCCATCATTCCATTAGACCAGGTCTCTTGTTTGGTGGGGAAGCACGGGACTTTGTTGGAAAGTCTGTAAGGAGGATTCTCCGAAAGATCGGTGGCCTCTAGAAGGACTTTGCCAAAGGCGGAAGGCCCTGCCTTGACTTTTCCAAACAAGTCCGAGCCCCCGGGTGTTTTACTGGAATCTCTATGTTTAATCTTTAAGACCAGACTTTGTAGATGCATGTGCTTTCTCAAGGATACTTACTCTGCTGATTGTATCTAGAGGTTAATTTTAGTTCAGGCTGTTGTTACAGTAAAAGCCTAAGGAGGCAGGCAATTGGTGCTGTTTAGGTGCCTCCTGCCAAGCAGCCCGTTAGCCTTTTCTTTCACAGAAACGTGTGTCAGAGTAATCCATTCATAGCCACTTAGGGTCTGCTGGTCAGTCCTGGCATGTCTCAGTCCATCATCTTCAACATCGTCATCATCATCATCATCATCACAATTTGCTTCCTTATAATCATTCTTCTCATTTTCTGTAGACATGGTGGTTGTAGACACACAATTCTTTTTTATCAGAAAAGAAAGCAGGCATCTACTCTTCAGATATCATTGGGGATTGACGCCCAAATGGCCCAACTGTAAGTTGACACAGGCCTTTGAAAAAGCCAATGATAGATTGGTGGGAAAGTACAGATTCCCACCGAGACATTGGACCAAGATTCTTTCCAAATATATTGTCATTATCACCACCACCACCACCATCATAATCATTGTCATCATCATCATAACCATCTTCATTGTAGTTTTCTTACTTATAATTATTCTTCTCATTTTCTTTAGATCTGGTTTTTGTACACACACAAGGACTATTTATCTCAACTTTCCTCATTTTGCATAGTTCTTAAGTAAAATACATAGTCACACTCTATTTTCTTTTTTGTTTGACTTCTAACAGCTGATGGCTTATTGCTGCCTCTTCTCCACCTGCCCCTTACATGGGAAATCAGATAAGAAATCATAGTTTTCTCCTTAGATGCTAGTGTGAAATTGAAACCACCCCCTGGAAGCAGAATTCCTCCCCATCCCCACCACTTCACCAAAATAAAAGCCCTGGGCCAGTCTCCTTCCCTGGGTCCATCAAAGCAGGTGTGTGTTCCTCAAGGGCCTTTCCTGAGCTTCCCATGGATTTCAACTATGAGCATAATAAGCATTCCATGTCCCTTGATGTGAGTGTATGTCATCAGCCTGCACATCTGTACCAAGCTGCTGTGGCTCCCTCTGCCTCTGCCTGGTGTCACCTACTCGTGGTGCTATGACATGATGACAAGACAATGACCATCACCACTGGGGGTCCATCTTCTGTAGCTTTGGGTTCACATACTTGTGGGGCACGCTGTCCAGCATTCAGGTGAGCTGCACTGTTGAGTCATAAGAGCCTCTTGATAGATATAGGGGACCTGGGTCAGAAGAGTTCATGATTAATTGGCATTTAGGGACAAGAGTAAGCAAAGGCATTTGCCTCTGCCTTTTGTGGGCATGACAGTTTTCCTCCTCCTACAATAAATCTCTGTAATTCAGATGGTGAAGAGGCAAACCCACACCTGACAGAAAACCAGCCTTTAAGGACAATCTAAACCTGCACCTGGGCTGTGAGCTGTGCTCAGTGTGTCTTGAGCGCCCTCTAGTGGTCATAACCACTCCTGCAGTCAGGTTTGTGTCAGGGCTCACACTGACTTCCCCTCACTGTGTCTTGCACAGTAATACACGGCAGTGTCCTCAGATGTCAGCTTGGTCATTTTAAGAGAGCCTGTGCTGGTAGGGTTGTCCCTGGAGATCGTGAATCTTCCTTGGACTGCTGGAGCATACCACTGAGTCGTTCCCTTTGGTTTACTCACTTCTGCCACCCACTGCAGCCCCTTCCCTGGAGCCTGGCGGACCCAGTGCATGCTGTAGTCAGTGAAGGTGAATCCAGAGGCTTTGCAGGAGAGGCTCAGAGACCCCTCGGGCGGCACCACGCCTCCCCTAGACTCCACCAGCTGAACTTGGCACAGGCCACCTGCAAACAGAGAAGCAGACTGAAAACTGCCCCGTGTGACTCAGTCCCCATGAGCCTGATGCACAGGGACGCACCTTTGGCAGCGAAGAGAAGCACAGCCCAGATGAGCGCAGACCCCATGGTGTGGACACTGAGGGGCTCACACAGGAGGCTCCTCTCCAGGGTCTGCAGGGACCCAGCCTGGCAGGCTTTCATGAGCAGGGGAGGCGCTGCATTTGCATGTCTTCCCCTGACGACCTGTCTGAGCTGCCAGGGGGCTCCTCCCTCCCTGTGGTCACATGGGGAGGGCGGGTGGACCAGGGTGCCTGGGCCAGGACTCAGGGGCATGTGGCTGGTCTGAACATTCTAGAAGCTTTTCTGTGAATAGTGGTAGATACACTCTGCCAGGATGGAAAGTGGGACTTTTAAGGTTCTCCACTGCAGGTTGCATATAAAACCCTCAGGAGACATCCTGGGACAGGATTGTGGAGATGACAGTGCCCCCCCTAGTGGTTGTTCTGAGCCACATATTCTGAGGACAGGTGTCTGAAAAAGCTTCCTGAGACCAGGCAGGCATGTCTGCCATGGGGAAGCCTTCCCTGTTATTTTTGAAAGAGTGGCAGCCCCAGGCCTGCTACTTGCACACAGGGGGCTTCTCTGCAAGGACGCCCTGGGCCACAGGTGGCCGCCTGTGGAGAGAACCTGAGGAACATAATGCTCCGCAGCCCAGGCCTCTAGTGCCAAGTCCTTAGCTTGCACGTGGGAGGTGCTGTCACCCAGCCTGGTGTGCACAGTCAGCATCCTGGAGGGTCCACCATGTGACACAGCAGTACCTGTTTAGCTCAGGAACATGTTTTCTGATATTTGTGGGGGACCCTCCATGACTGTTGGCAGTGGAGCTGCAGGGAGCAGTGAGCACAGGGACATACTTACCATGGACAGAGGACAATTCACTGTCCAGGAACTGGGCCCTTTAAATACAGCTCCTGAGACCCTGTGCCTGTGAATTCTAGGATTGTGCTTGAGATCATATGAGTAAGTCGCAGTGCAGAGGACAGCACAGCCTCCTTGCTCTGGGAGATGAGGAAGTGCACCCACCTCTGCAGGGAGTGATTTTCATCCATTGCTTTTAGCGTCTCAAATGTTATTTTCTCCATATTTTCATGAACAAATTCTTGAGTGCAAAGTCTTACCACCTGGGTGG